AAATACTTCCAGGGTCAATGGGTAAAACAGCAGAAATCCAAAACCAACATCTAATTCTTGAACCTAGCTGTAGAAAGCAGGTCACTTCACAATGCTTTTTCAGCATGTCTGATTTGGGGGGGGTGGGGGGGTAAACTCTAAATAATACTGGTGAATCTTTTATTGAAACAATGAATCTAATCAAAGCAGATAGAGTGTTAACTAGAATTCATCTGCCTCACAGGGACTGGGAGGGGTGGGGGGCTGGGGTTTTATTGGGGTTCTTCATGGTAAAAAATAAGTATTGGTAAAGGGAAATGTGTTTGATATTTGCATGACTTAGACCTAAACCTGAAAGCTTTGTAACCTTTCCCACAGTGATTCAGTAAATAAATAATTAAAAAAAAAAAAACTCTTGTGCAGCAACAAATAAAACATATCCAACATGATCTTTAGATTTACAGTTAAGTTTTATAAATATTTATACACACATACCCTTTTTTTAAAAAAATGGTTTTTTTTATTTTTGGGCCACACTCCTAGCTGATCAGGGACCAAATGGGGTGCTGGGGAACAAACTCAGGTTGGCTGCATGCAAGGCAAGTTCCCTACCCAAAGCACTGTTATCCCAGCCCATACACACCCCTTTTTGATTTAATAACTATGATCCAACTTTAAAGACGGGGGTGGGGAAGACCATGCTTCCCCTTAGCAGGGCTGACCCCCCGTCTGAGTCTGTCTTAGCACAGCCCTCCTTTTCTCCAGTGAGGACAACTGTACACGCTGCCATGAGAATGAACGATCTCCTTTCTATTTCTTTGTTTGCTTCTTCTTCTTCTTATAAAAATAGCACATGATCAATGTGGGACAGTTCAAAAATAGAGAAAATTATGTATTTGGACAAAAAAAAATTCCCTGTAATCCCAGAACACTACAACTCTTTCCAAAACTTTGATGTCCAAAAGGATAAATGTGTATGCAGATACACAATTGGAGTTGCAGAGCATATGGTTCAGAACTGGCATCATTTCCCCTTAACATTTTTTTAGGTCACACTCAGTGGTGCTCAGAGGTTGCTCCTGGCTCTGCAGTCAGGAATTACTCCTGGTGGTGCTCGGGGACCATATGGGATGCTGGGGATCAAACCTGGGTGGGCCATCTGCAAGGCAAACGCCCTACCCGCTGTGCTATCACTCTAGCCTCCCCCCCTTAACGTTTTCTCATAAACATCATTACAGTATTGAAAATTCTTCCCAAACATAATTTCAACAGTTCTATATTTGACCATGACTAATAATTTACTGACCTTATTTTTCACAATGTCTTTCTTTGAAAAACATTGCAGACAGACATATAATCTTCAGTCCCGAGTATTTCTTCAGGATGATTAGACGAAAGTAGAATGAGTACAAAGACTCTTAACACAAATGGCCAAATGGCCCTCCGGAAAACATAATACCAACTTAGTTTGCCAATGCTCACGTCAAATTGCATTTCTCCTCAAGTTCTTCTACTAGTGGTACTGGGATGGGACCCCAGAGCCACACTCATGCCAAAGAGGGGCCCTACCGAGGCACGTCTCTGGCCGTCACATTCTTCCTACTGGCTTTAGCTCTTGGTGCAAACTTTCTTCCATTTAATTTCTTGATCCACATCTTACTTTGTAAGATTTAGTCTTTCTCTCGCTGAGACAATTTTCAATTGTAAAAGATTATTGTAAAGGGTCAGGGAGAGAGGTCAAAGGGCTGGTGTGCATGCTCAGAAAGCAGGTCCTTGGGTCAGTACCCACCACCGCATGTTCCTCTGAATACCACTGAGAGCTGTCCACAGTACTGACCAAGGAGTAGACACTCCAACACACACACACACACACACACACACACACACACACACACACACAGAGGTATGGCCCAAAAAAATAACATCATTTTTAACAGATCTCTATAAACATACTGGTCTTTTGTCACAAGCTATATATATAATTAATTTCTAAACCTGAAAAAAATATTAATAGAAGTTAAATTTTTTTCTAAATTTCTGGCTCAGTAATCCAGAAGTCTTTTACATTTTTTTAAGCAATTTTTTGTTGCTGTTGTATATTTTGTTTCCTGTCACATCTGGTAATGCTCAGGGATTACTCCTGGAAGGAAAGGGTTTGGGGGACAATATGGGATGTCAGAAATCAAATGAATCCGGACCGGCAACATGCAAGTGCCCTACCCACTTTACTATTGCTCCAGCCCCATTTTGTTAAGCTTTTGTTTGTTGTTTTGTTTTTGCTTAGGGGGCAATAACTGGCTGTGCTCAGGGCTGACTCCTGGCTGTGTAAGGAATCACTCTTGGTGGGCTAGGTGTGCCATTTGGGGTGCCAGGGGCTAAACCCAGGTCTTCCTGCAATGTGATTGCAAATTCAAGCAATCAAGAGCCCTAGCCACTGTAAAACCACTCCAGCCCCTTGTGAAGCTTTTAAACACTATTTATTTCAATACTTATTGTTTGTCATAGTGTTCACCACTGGGGTATAAGTCGATTCTTAGTCCATAGACCAAAAGGAATGTATCATAATGTAAATAATATACATGTATATTACTGCAAATACTGTACACTATTCTCGTTCTTTAATAACTGATCATCACATTAGAATGATCATCGGACCCAGTATATAAGTCTTGAGAAGCCATGCATGAGCTAAGAACTAAAGTCTGAGATTAAGCATTTTACTTGACTCTGCATAATACATGCATAAATAACATATATGCATTTGATTTGAAACTTTAAGAATCTTTCTAAAAGGTAGACCCTATTTAATCCAAAAGCAAAGAGTATTAGGGCCAGAATGTCAGTACAGCGAGCAGGGCACTTGTCTAGCATGTGGCTGGCTTGAATTTAATCCCCAGCACCCAGTATGGTCCCCTGAGTACAGCCAGGGGTGATCTCTGAGCACAGAGTCAGGAGTAATCTCTGATCAAGGAGTAATCTCTAAGCTTACACTTTTGCTTTTCAGAATCTATCCTATAATAAGTATTCAATATCTATTAATAATATTAATGATTTTCTCAAGTGGGCCCAGTAACATCTCCATTGTGAGACTTGTTGTTACTGTGCTTGGCATATCAAATATGTCACGGGTAGCTTGCCAGGCTTTGCCGTGCGGGCAAGATACTCTCAGTAGCTTGCAGGGCTCTCCGAGAGGGGCGGAGGAATCGAACCTGGCTCGGCCGTGTCAGTTGCGCGGAACCGGTCAACCACTGTGGAGCGATAGCATAGCGAGTAGGGCGGTTACCTTGAATGCAGCCAACATGGCCGAGCCAGGTTCGATTCCTCTGCCCCTCTTGGAGAGCCCAGCAAGCTACCGATGGCATATTCAATATGCCAAACACAGTAACAAGTCTCACAATGTTACGAGGCCCACTCGAGCAAATCGATGAGCCACAGTACAGTGACAGTGACAATATTAATGACAAGAAACCAAGAGGAAGCTTAGCATAAAAATGTATGATGATAAGGCTGTAGTTACAGGGAAAACTCTGTAGCACTGTCCTCCTGTTGTTCACTGATTTGTTCGAGCGGGCCCAGTAACGTCTCCATCGTGAGACTTGTTACTGTGTTTGGAATATATTGAATACGTCATGGGTAGAGGAATCAAACTCAGGTCGGCTGCATGGGCCATATACAAGGCAAATGCCCTACCTGCTGTTTGTTAAAAATATATTTCTGGTGCCCGAGTGATAGCACAGCGGGTAGGATGTTTGCCTTGCATGTGGCCAACCTGAGTTCAATCCCATGTGGTCCCCCAAGCACTGCCAGGAGTAATTTCTGAGCATAAATCCAGGAGTAACCCCTAAGCATCACCAGGTGTGGCCCCAAAACTGGATAAGAAAATTTATACAGATACAGTTTTCTGTCTTATAACCACAGACTAATTTTTATTTAGTTTATTTATTTGGGAACGGTCTGGGAGGGGACACCCAGCACTGCTCAGGGGCTACTTCAAGCTCTGTGCTAAGGAGTCACTGCTCATAGTGCTGGGATCAAACCACACGTGCAAGACAAGATCCTTCCCCACCGTATTATCTCCCTGAACCCTAGACCAATTTTTTAGCTCCTTCTACTGCTAAAGTCAATTTTTTAATATTTTTTTTTCTTTTCTGCAGGGGAAGGGGGAGGTTTGGGCTATACCCAGCAATGCTCAAGGGCTCCTCCTTGATTAGGAATCACTTGAGGTGGTGCTCAGGGAACCATATGGAGTTCCGGGGATCAAACCCAGGTCAGCTACATGCAAAACAAATGGCCTACCCACTATACGGTCACTCCAGCCGCTCAGATTTGACTTCTGAGATTACTTTTCCTATAATGATTTCAACAAACTCTTTGTATTTTTATTTTGCTTCGAAGTTTCTGAGCCACACCTGGAAGCATGAGGAGGTCACTCCTTTCTCTATGTCAAGATCATTCTAGGGGGGACTCGGGGTCCATCTGAGACCAGCAACAGGATCTGCCTCCCCTAAAGCCTGTTCAGCTCTCGGGCCCTCAGACCAACTCTGGCTTTAAACACCTGAACATAACCTGTGGCGTATGGACAAAATGTAAAATACAGCTTTTGTCAATTGCTAGATTTTATTTTCAATCAATTTCCCTGAAGATTCCCACCAGTTCCTCCTCAAAGGGTCTGCGCAAACGCTGAGATTTTCAAGTGTCTGTAGCTCGGCTCCACCAACATTCCCAGGGGGGCTTCTCTGAGAAGCGCTGAGGAAACCTGCAGGGGCCACACACACAGGACCCTGTGTTCCTGTTCCCAGCCTGTGCCCTGGATGCCTGGGCAAGAGAAACTGCACCAACGCTAGGAACTCCACGGGGGGCAGAGCACAGTGCCTGCCTTGAATACGGCTACCAGAGATGGCCCCCTCACGGCCAGTCGCCACCCAAACATTACCTCTACTTGTAAAGGAACCCCCACGACCACCCCGGAGGAGACTCTCCATGACGACCATGCAGATTGCCTGCAACTAAGAGCGACTTACTTGCTGACTTCTTTGTACTGGGCGATTTCCTCGATATAAAGGAGGTCGTGCAAGCGGGCCTGGTAGTTGCTCTTGGTCAAGGATTTGTCTAGAACGGACTGGGTGAACAGCTGGTCGGCAGAGAGGGGGATTTGGTATCTGACAAGAAGGCTCTTCTCCAAATCAGTAGTTTCATTAGGTTCAAAATCTACAATAGTCTTAGAAGAAGAATCCCAGCGCTTGGCTGTGGTTACTAACTGCTGCTTTGCATGCATCAGGTATTCAAGATCTAGACGGAAACAAACACATTTATCAAGGAACGCAACATTAAAATTCTCAAATACGTTCTAATCAGTTTATAATGCTAGAGCTAAAATTCTTAACAAAGCATTACAAAAACTTGTTTAGGAGCACTTTCCCCATATCTCATACACACACGTATATATATTACAGCAGTCTACAACATCCCTTAAATATATAACATTTTGCAAGTAAAGATAAACACTGAAAAGTCCTCAGCTGAAAAAAAACTGATCTGCAAAGAGAACATGACAAATTCCTCTTAAGACAAAACTCAATCTATGATTGTCACTTTTCCTATTACCAAAGTCTGTCCCATTACAGAAAGAGAGAATCAGAAAACTGAAAAGTTATTATTCTTTTGTGGGGTAAAACTCAGTGTTATTCCCTGGAAGCCAACTCAGGACAAACAAAATTCCCTTTAAAAATACTCATCTAAGGGGGCAGGGTGATAGTACAGAGGGTAGGACGCTTGCTTTACAGCTCACCTGGGTTCAATCCCTGGCACCCCATACGCTCTTACGAGCACCACCAGGAATGATCCCTGAGCAAGAGCCAGGAATAAGCCCTAAGCAGCATCAGGTGCACTCCCCACCCACCACAGATGCCACACCCGGGGAGAGAGAGAGAGAGAGAGAGAGAGAGAGAGAGAGAGAGAGAGAGGAAAAATATTCATGTAAAACATGGCTAACTACACATTAGAATGTGATTTGATGTACCATTCAAATACCAATTCAGAAAAATTCAGTTTGGCCTCAGCTGAATTACACTGAAAGTAGGACACAATGTCAAAATGAATTAACTGCTCAAGTTCTGACATCCCGGGGGTGAGGCAACATAAGACCAGCAACAGAGCAAAATACAACATAGCATCAATTCTGAGCTATGGTAGATTCACTCCATCTACAATGCAGATACTGTTTTCTCTAACGGAGGACTTCTAATATACCTAGAAAGATGAAACGCGGGGCAGGAGACAGGCTGGACACCAGAGACTGCCTCGCAGTCCAAGGCCCATGGCCACATGGTGACCCCTCCCCTCGCCGCCCAAACACTGCCGGGGCAACCCCCAGCTAAGAGCCAGGACACCACCAGGTGTAGTCCACCCCCTGCCCCCCAAAAGATGAAATTTAACTCAAAAGGGGAAACACTATTGTTTAACAGACCCAGCAGGCTGGTTTCAGAGGCTTCAATTCTAGAAAAAGATAATATAAAGTTTAAACAGAGATCAGTTATTCTTAGAACTATGCAGACAAGTCAGGTACTATCCTTAACCTGAGCACATGATATGTAATTGCTGTCTTGCTTAGTGGAAGATTATGCTACATTATATGTGTATATATATATATATATATATAAACATATATATGTTATATATGTATATATAACATAATACTCATCTACCAGAAATAAATTTCTCAATATCAGAAAATAGCTTATCCTAAAATCTTAATAAAGATTGAAATATAACATAAAAATTAAAAAGACAGGTTTGGAGACATGGTACAGTGGGTAGAATGCTTGCCTTGCATGCAGTCAACCTGGATTCAACCCCCTGGAACACACCTGGTCCCCCGAGCACCACCAAGAGTGATCCCTGAGCACAGAGCCAGAAGCAAGCCCTGGGCACCACTGGGTATGGCCCAAACCACCCCCTCAACGGAAATTAGTATTTTTAATTTTTTTTCCAAAAAGAAAACAAAATATAGTTACTAGCTACTTCTGCTCGTAAGGTCATAGAACAGTAGCATCAAAAATAGTAGAGCTTCACTCTGAAGAAAGTTTTCTGCATCACCTCTTTCCTGTGCAAAGCCATTATGCAGCAAATCTTTCTCTACGGGGCTGGAAGCAGACAGCCCTGATGGGACAGTGCTTGTTTTTCTCATTTTGTCTGTGCAATGCTATGACTCTTGCCCTGATTTTAAGCAATTCTCAAAATGACGGTCTCCCGCAGACGGCACAAAAAAAAAAACCCTCAAAGTATTTTGAAAACAATGTAGATTTGGGGGCTTGAGCTAGATATAAGAACGTTAATGTTAGAGCACATGCCTCACATTCATGCAGCTGACCCCCATTTGATGCCAATCACTGCCGGGCCCCCTGAGCACAGACCAGAGATGGCCCCCAAACTAAACACAAAACCAAAAATCAATGTGAACTTGTACTTCATTTATTGTCTCAAATAAGAGAGTGCAAGGGAGGGGAGAGCTGGAGGAGCAGTAAGATGATCCATGGGGGCATCTCTGGCCGAGGACGGAGAGCATGTGTGCCAACTCCACACTTGAAAGTGCTGATTCAGGTCCTGCAGTGCTCTTCTTCCCACAGAGAGGAGAGACGAGGTTCCGGGGAGGCTGACCACTAGGTCTCACGACACCCCTACCTGCAGGAAGGGGTTACCCGCTGACCACATCTCTAAGACACACATACACACTCACACTCACACATACACACACGCACACGTGCAGAAACGCACACACACACATGCACCATTCAAGCCAGTGTGAGCAGTCCATCGCTGGTAAACAATCTACATCAGGCAAAATAAAATATTCTGGGACAATGAAAAATGAACAGGTTAGGATTAATGAACAGCAGGGATAATGTAACACAGCCTAGCTAGCCCACTCCTTTTTATTAGGACATCTCAAAGCAAACCCAAAATTATTTTACTGGCCCACACATGGCACACAGGAGGCTACAGATATCTATTGAGAGAAATTCCTCAGGAAAGGTTCAGGATAATAGAATAGGCCTTACCTTTCGAAGGTAATGCAAAGGAAAGGATGCTAGTGTCCAAATCAGACCTCAAGGCTAATGTAACTCATCTGACACAAGCTACACTCGCCAACTCCCCTTGCATTCTGACCACTGAGACAGCAGTGTTCTTGTTTTAACTGAGGAGCTACTGTTCTGATAAAGCGCCTAAGAAGTTGGTTTGAAGCACCGAGTATACACAACACACTTGAAATGTACCCTCTACAGAGCCAAGAGCATTGATAAGTAAGGCTTGGGGGCTGGAGCAATTATACTGCGAGTAGTCTTGCATATGGCCAGCCCAGGTTCGATCCCCGGCATCCCAGATGGTTCCCCAGGCCCCACCAGGAGTGAGTCCAGAGCCAGGAGTAAGTTCTGGGCACCAGTGGGTGTGGCCCCAAAAACCCAAAAACTAAACAAATAAATGAAAGAAGGCAAATGAGGGGAGCGGCAAAAGAGAAACTCTATGACTGGCCAAAAGAAGAGAAGAAATACATACTAAACGCTCAGGTGAAATACGGAATTTATTAAAAGCAGCAACATTTTTCAAGAGGGTGCCATAAAGTGATTTCTAATTCAGAATCAGGTCCTCCACTTCCTTAGGAAGCACTTTGGCCTGTGGCGCTATAGATCTTGGAGACCCAAATTAACACTGAGATCAAATCTAAAAGTAATCCATGCTCAACTCCCATTTCAGCTATCCACTTTTTTTTTTTTTTTGCTTTTGGGTCACACCCGGCATTGCACAGGGGTTACTCCTGGCTCATACACTCAGGAATTACTCCTGGCGGTGCTCGGGGGACCATATGGGATGCTGGGGATCGAACCTGGTCGGCCGCGTGCAAGGCAAATGTCCTATCCGCTGTGCTATCGCTCCAGCCCCATCAGCTATCCACTTTAATATCCACTTTTATCCGTGGTTCCTTTCACCAAATCAACAACTTAGAAAACTAGATCTCAAAGCATCTACACCCTCTTCTTTTAACACTTTTTGTTTGTTTGGGGGCCACACCCGGCCATGCCCCGGTGCTGAGGACAGAGCCCTCTGGCCATGGGCAAGGTAAGCGCTGACTGTGCTATCGCTCCCATTCCTGATGTTCCATCTCTAAATGAAATTAATGAAAAGTTAAATACGGGGCCAGAAAGAGGGTTTAACAGGCGAAGCACATGCTTTGCGTACAGCTGACCCCAGTTTGATCCCCAGCACCACGTGTTCCCCCTAACACTGCCAGAAAGAGCCCCCAAGTATTGCTGGATATGGCCCCCCAAATAAAACGGCAAATAAAACCATCACAGAACCTGGGCTATGACTCAAGAAGTACAGTACAGGGGCCAGAGCGATAGCACAGCGGGTAGGGCCTTTGCCTTGCATGTAGCCAACCCAGGTTCGATCCTCGGTACCCCATATAGTCCCCCACGCACCACCAGGAGTAATTCCTGAGTGCAAAGCCAGGAGTAACCCCTAAGCATTGCTGGGTGTGACCCCAAAAGCAAAAAAAAAAAAAAAAGAAGTAGAGTACATGCCTAACTAACATATGCCTGCATATGAGGCCCTGAGTTCCAGTCTCAGAACTACATGATCCCTGGGCATTAGGTGCTAAAGTATTGGGTGCCAAAGTATTAAGTACTAAAAGGGTATCTGATACTTATCACATGCTTCTACTCAGTTACATATATCTTTCATTGACAAACTACTGGTTAAAATCTTTTATTTTCTAATCACAGGAATATGATATAGGATATATTGTTGAGATAATTAAGTCACACTCAATGTTAATGCTAACAGTTAATGTACACTGGTACCAAGAGACCTAGTACAGCGAGTAAGGCACTTGCCTTGCACACAGCTGACCAGGTTCAAGTCCCGGGTGCCCCTAGCCCTGCCAGGAATGATCCCTGAGTGCAGAGCCAGGGGTAAGTCCTGAGCACAAAAGATAAATAAGGTAATATAGGTTTCCTGAAGAGTTTTCAGGACTGCCATGTAAGAACTAGAAGTGGCAGGGGGTGGGTGGGAAACTCATTCACAGTCTGCAAATAGGAAAGATTGGATATTTTAATTACCATGAATCAAGTAAGAGGGGAAAATGGACAGGACTTTTTCCTGACTCAAATTTAAATAAGTAATTACTTTTTTTTTTTTTTTTTTTTTGCGGTACACAGAGGTTCCTCCTGGCTCTGCATTCAGGAATTACTCCTGGCGGTGCTCAGGGGACCATATGCAATGCTGGGAATCGAACCCGGGTCAGTCACATGCAAGGCAAACACTGTCCTATTGCTCCAGCCCCAGTAATTACATTTTTTGATTCACTACTGAACAATGAGTGAGAGGAAGAAATGTCTGCTAAACAACTTGATTTGAAGTTTCAAGGAGTAAGGCTCTTGCAACTGTGACTGAATCAGTGACAAAGGTGAGGCATTCTAGAGTGAGGGACACTGAGAATCTCCCAGAGGGGAACGACACACACATTCCCAACACTCTCTGGAGACGAACTCTTCCAGTATTGAGCCGGTATCACCTCTTAGCTTCAGTGAATTGATTATGGATAATAATAAACTAATAAATGGTTAAAATTTTAACTTTATGGAAAGAAATATATATATATACTTTCAACATTAAGGACAAAAACATGCCTAAATAATTAACAGCTATGTGGAAGAAGAGGAAAATATAAAGATTTTCCCTATTCAAATTCTAGCTTCATACCATCACTGCACTGTGTGTGCAGAAACAAAATAGTGATCTAATTTATGACACTGCCAAAACTGTATGGGAATGTGAGAATGCCCAGGCTTCCTTCAATTCCCAAGGTCCCAATTACACATCATCAATTGGTACCAGAATGACCCTTTTCCTCCCAGTCCTCAGTCCAGGGAGAACAAATCATGAACTGGCTGAGCTGGAAGTAAAATTATCAAGGTATCGCTTTATCACCAAAAAAGTTTTCTGGCTCTCATGGCCAGTAAATATTATCCTTACAAGTACTCCAGGAAAAGATAGAAAGATACAAAAACCCTTTGTTTTATTGTTTTTATAAAACTGTGATTTCTCATACACAAATCTGCTGCCCTCAGGTTTTTTTTTGTTTTTTTTTTTGCTGAGAAGCTGCTGCTGGAAGAATCAGAAACACAAGCTAACAGGAAACAAACATTACACAGCTTATATCCTGCTTTGTCCTCTCCGAGACTCAGCTGGGACTGTGGTTACAGTCGCACTGAAACGTAAAGTCACACAAGGCAAATTTTATAAACATCAAAATGCCAAGATATTTAATGAAAAGAACCAAAAATTAAAACAGATCAGCTCGTGTAAGTAATGAACAGCCAAATGTGATTTAGCTTGTTTACCCCTAGATTTAAGTTTTTCTTCTCATACTGCTTAAAATCTTTGATCAGAAAATGCATTGCGTATATTTGATATTGCTCCATAAAAATAACAACTTTCCTCTATCCTTGAAAAACAAATTTCACTACGATGAAAGTATTTTAATGTTTCCAAATCAAATTCCAGAAATCATTTCTTCACTATTTTCAACAATATTAAGCGTTTAGAGGTAAAACCGTGATCAAAGGGAAATAAATATATTAAACTACAAAGACACCACTATTTTAAAAAGGGGAGGATACAATATTATAAAAAGTATTACTGGGTTTGGGGCTGGAGTGATAGTACAACGGGTAGTGCGTTTGCCTTGTACCAGTCGATCCGATCCGGGTTGAATCCCCATCCGGGTTCAATTCCTGGCATCCCATATGGTCCCCCAAGCACCACCAGCAGAAATTCCTGAGTGCAGAGCCAGGAATAATCCCTGAGCATCACTGGGTGTGACCCAAAAACAAAAACAAGAACAAAAAAGTACTACTGGATTCAAATTAATAGATACCACTGTCTCTCTTACTTCCCTCTTCCATATCTGAATATAACGTGAAGCATATTTCAAGCTTATGGATTAGAAACATCAGAAACAAGACTCTACTTCTTCCTATTACCAAACTGAAAGCATCAGGCACTGGGAGAGCTTCTCCACCCAACACCTGATTCTCTGCCAATAACTCAGGGTGTATTGACTGGTCTTCACTTCTCAGTCCCTCTGCCTGCCCCCTAGTCCTGACCCTCATTCTTCTAAAGCTTGCTTCTCTCTTCCTATTGTACTCATCCTGTTTGTAAGCTAAAATTATTCTAGGGGTCGGAGCCATATTACTACAGGTAACACCCTTGCCTTGCACGCAGCTGACCCAGGTCAGATTCCCGGCATTCCATATGATCCTGTGACCACTACCAGGAGTAAATCCTGAGTGCAGATCAGGAGTAACCCCTGAGCATCACCAGGTATGGTCCAAAGATAACAACAACGAAAGAAATAAGCAAATGCATAATCCACATGAAAACCAAGAATCACCTTTCAGAGTTACACAGAGAAGAGGGAATACATATTGGCCTCTCTTGATGACTTAAATCTAATGATTTATTTATATAGGGCACTTCAAGTTCTAGCCTCTAAAAGCAACGGCAACCAAAACACCAAAAGCAAACTAAATACAGCCCACTTCAGCTTATGAAAATAAAGTTTTATTGGAAAACAGTTCTGACATTCATTCACACATCACCTATAACTGCTATCTTGTTTCTATGCAAAGCTAAGTCATTGCAACAGGGACCATCTGTTCTGCTCTGTTCAAGCACTTAAAGTATTTAATCTCTGGCCAACCCTGGGAATTAAAAAATCCAATCCAAGTTAATACAAATCTATTCTTTTCAGTTACTACCGTATCTATCTGACCACAGAAACCAATACAATTTACCCCATCAAATGTACTGAGAAAATGGCAAAAACACAATACAACAGAATATAAAGAGGAAAAAAAGATCAGAGTGAAAAAATCAGGTACAATGGAGCCTCGAGAGTCAGAAATGACACATATACAAGAAAGTGACGCCTGTTAAATTTGGGCACAAAAGTTACTTCAGTCTAATTTGCAGCTCAAATGGGAAAAAAAAAAGTCTCCCCTGCTCCCTTTGTCCAAAAAAGTAAAATCTGAGCCAGAGTGGGGGGGGGGAAGGGCACAGAGTTTACTGGGGCAGGAGAGACAGTAAGGGATTAAGGGATTAAGCAATCTGCCAAACCAGGTACAAATCCTGGCACCACATAAGGTCCTCCGAGCACCGCCAGGGGTCACTGCTGAGCACAGAGCCAAGAATGGCCCCTGAGCACCAAAATTCAGAGCCAACGCAAAGGGAGCTAAATGCCCTGTCCTTATCCTGTTGGTTCTTGACACAAATTCAGTCACAGGGAGAAATACAATAACACGCAACTCACTTATCCCCTTCCACCAGGGTTTACAGGTTGGAATCTGGGACACGCCTCTCCCCCGAGTACACCAGGAAATTCCATGAACCGTGACAGGGTCCTTTACACTACCAGGAAATGTACAAAAGCAACTCAGGAAAGTTTTCATTCAAGACTTCTCATCCAGAGGCACCACAGAAAGATGGGTGGTGTGACATGGATGGTTGCAGGCAGACACTGAAGGTGTGTTGATGGTGACCCTCAGCGCATTCTCCCCAAACAAAAGTTCAAGGTTTGACTGTGATTCAAACTCCTTGCTTGGAAAACGCAGTTGGTAGGCCAAGAGACTTGATTATGCACGCACACGGGTCTGAGAAACCTCAAAGCAAGTTTTGCTTGAGGCCTGTCGAGAGCCAGCAGAAATAACAGTCATTCTAACCCCACCCAATGGCAGAGTCGGCGAACTCACTGCTCCCTCCCTATCCACAGAACATCAAGAGGCCAATAAATATCTCTCAAGATTTTTACTATAATGCCTTTAATACATCGTTATCAGGGGGAAAACGTCTAAATATTACCTTCTGTAGAAGCTGCATCAATCATTACTCTTTGCATGAGTACTGGTTCCAATCCAAAGTCGAAAACTATGGTTTGGCGAAAAGTTCCAAATATTTCTGTGTTAAATGCTATCCCGACTTTGTACACGTAATGATCTAATCCGTTTTGGGCCATCTTTCCTCCTATCCATTCTTGACAGTTTTCTGGGACTTCTTGCGACACCTGGGTAGTACTATCTCCAGCAGATATTGCAACGATACTAAAATGAGGGCGATGTGCGTCGTAGAGCAATGCTACACGACAAAGTGTTCTTGCAGGCTAAAAGAAAATTAAAATAATCCGATGAGTACAAGCATGTAAATGATCTCTTCAATAAAAATATTTCTGTAAGGGGCTTTTGCTTCTACGATACTTAATTGTGCTCCAAAGTCATTTAAGAAAAAAAAAACCAGAATCATTAAAAAATCAGTTGTTAAAGTAATTCTGATGTCAACTGTCATTCAATAGAGTCAAAATATTTTTTAACAATTATAAATTTATGCTACATCATTAGTCTTCAAGCTTTCTCTGATGATTCATCACTTATTGTGGCAAAAACTACCACCCTCTATGAAAAGTGAGTGTCTAACTTTGCACACTGGTGGCCCGTAAAATTTTATCTAGCCAGGTTTTCTCTGAGGCATTGGGCTGGGTTCAAGGCCAAAGGTAAATGTTCCCAGATTTTATAATCCAATATGCAGATGGTACAGTGGAAGAAACACTACCATAAAGTATCTAAAACATTTCCACTGCACATATTCACAGAAATATTTAACTCTGCTTCAATCTTAAATTTTCAACACTTAATTCAACATTGGAAGCATTTAGAAAATGTTAAAAACACAATACTGCAAATTTGTGATTTCATTAAATCAATTTCTTTTTAATTTAAAAAAAAAATTCAGGGCTGGAGAAATAGTCCAGCAGGTAGTGTGTTGGGCTTGCATGCAGCCAAACCAGGTTCCATGCCCGGCATCCCATATGGTATAACCAGGAGTAATTCCTGAATGTATAGCCAGGAGTAATCCCTGAGCATCGATGGGTGTGGCCCCCAAACCAGACAAAACCAAACAAACAAAAAAATTTAATGTTTGGGTTGGAGCGATAGCACAGTAGGTAGGTAATTTGACTTGCACGCGGCCAATCCGGGTTCAAATCCCAGCATCCCATATGATCCCCCCAGCATCAACAGGAGTAATTCCTGAGTGCAGAGCCAGGAGTAACCACTGAGCATCGCTGGGTATGGCCCAAGAAAAGCAAAAAAAAAAAAAAAAAAAAATTTAATGTTTATTTATAAGCCATAAACCCTATTACATGTTGCAAGCTCTGAAGACACTACCCAAGACCTCTTTATCAAACAAACATATCAGCAGCATCAAAACACCTACAGAGATTTTCTCACAAAATCAAAAAAGCTGTGTCTTTAATGATCAAAATATGGAAATGAGGCTTAGTATAACATAGAACCTACATAAAGTATACTTAGATTGAAACAAATTCAATGCTATTTTAGCAAAGATTAAAAAAAATAAAAAGCTTTAACTTTTCAAGGAGAAAAAGAAAACGTTGCATTTTCTAATTAACACAAAACTCCTACCTTACACGTGAGAGCAAAGGTCCAGGTCTGGTGAGATTTTTTGGTGTTGACAGTAACAGAGAGGTCAGGATTATGCTCTACTTTGACTCCTTCTATACATTCACTAAGCTGAAAACAGAGAGCAATCCATGTTAAGTTTGGATTCCTCAAAGCACACACAAAAACATTTGCCAAGGCAAATAAATGTCAACAGCAAAGACGATGACAGAACTGCTTACAAAAGCAAGATGTTTATACATTAATTATTTTTGTAAGAGCCGTTCACATTAAAAGAAGACAAAAATCAACCAAAGTAATAGCAGCAAAAACTCCCTTGAGAAAGAGAAATTCATGAAATACCTGTAAATCCCCCAACAAATAGCTTACTTCTACTTTGTAAGTTTAGCAAGTGGCTCAATGGCTATTGCTAAAAACGCTGTGAAAAAAAAAAATGATGTTCTTTCATCTAAAAGCTAAGGAACTGAATCAAAATACAGCAGGAAAGAAAGCCAAGACTCAAACAAGATCAATTGTTTCAAATAAAGAAAAAAAAAAGTTGTTTCATTTCCTCACCACTTTCTCAGGAGACAACGAATTCATCCACTTTTCTATCAGGGTTTCCATGTAGGAGCCGGACAGCTGTTTGTTCTCATTCTGTTGTTTCAACTTTATTAACCGTGAAGCATATCTTTTCTGCCATTCTGCTAGTTCTTCCTGGGAATGTGCTGAAGTACACTGGGCACCATACCTACAGATTCCTTGCTCTAAAAATCTAAGTGGAACAGGAAAGACTCTTTTTACCATATATTTTGTTGGTACTGGCAAAAGATGAACTTCCAGCCTCTGCCCTTTGACTTCGTCAGTGACAAACACAAACCCTTCCTCTTCGGAAAGGCGGGATTATCATTCCGCCTTACATGGAGTGGGGAGATTTGGGGGCCACTTATAACACTTAATTGGACACTGACTCTCACACACACTGACCCCTTTCGTGGGAAGTCAGGAGACACAAAGGTATACAAGATACTCCCAGCCACCACCCACCCTCAAAAATAAAGACATTGAAAAAGGAACTTCCTTCCAGTTACAGCAATTCGATTAGAGAAAAACTCTTAGGAGAGTTTTTCTAAAGCAACACTGACATCAAGTGGCCTCACTCCTCATACACAGGTATACCCTGCTTCCAAAATTGTTAAGACTGCAAGGAAACGCACCACAGTATGAACTTAAATCTGGAAGAAATTTAATACATCATGAAGTTATCATTCTAAGTCTCTGCTTCGCACCTCTGGATATGTTTCCACAGTTTTCTACGTTACTGTTACCTATGTTTCATTGAAAATGTTGACTACTAATTTTCTAGAAGTATTTTAATCAATTCAGAACAAATGGTTTCTCAATGTTTACGACTCAGAAAAGCACACTGATAACTCAGGGGTCCACGACACATCAAACACAAGACTATGATTACTTTTTTGCAAGTTTTAAATGCCCTGCGAAACTACAAATCTTAGCCACGTTGTCCCTTTTTTTAATGGGGGGTGGGAGAACCACACCAGGCTGTGGGATTTCATCAAGGGCTACTTCTCGCTCTCATCAGAAGAGACCCCCACAGTGCTCAGAGAACCTTACGCGGTACCTGAGATTCAAACTGGGATCAGCTGTGTGTGTCTCTCTGACCCCTACCCAATCTTTAAACACTCAAAACATAAAAATACTAACTCTTCTGAGAGAAAAAAGAAATATTAGGCTATAAAAAGCAAACTGGAAATAAGATACATTAATTTTTTTCAGCTAATGTAAAATAATACAAAATAGAAAACGAATGACAGCACCAAGTTAACATATATTTGATAAAGTAACATCAAAAATAATAAAATAGCACCAAATGGTTAACATACACAAAAATGAATGCACAGAAAGTTTTTATTGATTATACACACCAAAGTTAAATTAGGGACCGGAGAAATACTACAATAGGTAAGGCTGGTCCCCTGAGTGCAGCTGACCCAGGTTCGACTCCTGGCTTTCCATCTGGTCCCTTGAGCACCCCCAGGAGTAACTGCTGAGCAAAAAGTCAGGTGTAACCCCTGAACATCTCCGGGTATGGCCCACCAGTCTCACCAAAAAAAGAACTGAAAACTAAATTAAACTTACTAAATTATCTGATGCTTCGAACAATAGCTAAAACTTTCTAATAAGGTTGTCCTAATGAATCAAAATTATCTTCCAACTAATTTAAAATTATTTCTCTAAGGGGCTGGAGCGATAGCACAGCGGGTAGAGCATTTGCCTTGCACGTGGCCCACCCGGGTTCGATTCCCTATATCCCATATGGTCCCCTGAGCACTGCCAGGAGAAATTCCTGAGTGCATGAGCCAGGAGTAACCCCTGTGCATCGCCAGGTGTGACCCAAAAAGCAAAAAAAAAAAAAAAAAAAAAAAATTTTTCTAAAAAATCCAAGATTGGTGTTGGAGCAATAGCACAGCAGGTAGGGTATTGCCTTGCATACTGCCGACCCGGGTTCGATTCCCAGCATCCCACATGGTCTGCCGAGAACCACCAGGGGTAGTTCCTGAGTGCAGAGCCAGGAGCAACCCCTGAGCATCACTGGGTGTGACCCCAAAAAAAGCAAAAATATTAAAAATAAAAAAACAAAAAAATCCAAGATTTTATACTCTTATCCAGACTAAAATATTTTTCATATTTCTTCTGAAGAATACTGTGTTCTGTAAAATCTAAGCACACTGAAGGTTGTGTGTTCGCGGGCTCTCTGGACAGCTCTTTCTCACCGCCCACGTTCGGCGCTCTTGAGCCCTGTGTGTGGCCTGGATCTCTCTGAAACTTGAGCCCCTCTCGCTCTGACTCTGGATCTCCCTCGCCTGGGCCTACAGTCTTAGCTTATATAGCAATCATGTAAGGTGGTGACACACAGGTGGGTTGAACATTAACAAATCAACAGAGAGAGGTAAGACCACTCCTCCAGGAGATTAACTCAAAGATAAAATCTCATCTAAAGAGATTACTCCAGATTACTAGGAGATCTGCACAAGGGTGGGATCCCAACAAGGGTGTGTTCTTCCTTCAGTTAGTAATCTACTTAAATAGTTGTAATAAATCTACTTCTAATATTTCTAGCAATGTCATTCTGTATGAGCACAGTAAGAGATATAAATTTAGTTTGGTTCTTCCTGAGAACATCTCACTATACATTCCGCAGTCCTCAGGCCAGGTTAATCTTCCTAGCTCCAGCAGGGTCCTAGTCTCGTCATTACTTACTTCTGGATCATGACAGCATTTGTCCACGATCATGCCCTCAACTTATAGTTGAGTATCGTGGCTCTTTGGCCTGGCCCATTTCGATGCCAGGGTAGCTCACAGCTTGCCCTGGGTCCATTCAGTCCCTCATCGGGACCCTGCTTTTGGAGTTCTAGGAACTAAGGGCAACTGAGTCAAGAAAGCAGATGCCCAGGAGTAAATATTATTTGGAGTCAATCAACTCACAAGTTACAAAGCACAATATTAACTGTCTTCCTGTGCCCATACAGAAAGGACATTGCTTTTAGGTAAACTATTCAAAAGACATAAGTAGAGGAGAAAGGCAATATTAACTTATAATATAAGTTCAGTGCCCTGGGATGGGTGTGACCAAATAAACATAAGCTACCTGAGGAAGGACAAAACAGTGTTATCCTACAGTAACAAAGTAAGAGGATTTTCAAATCTACTAATTAGTTTCTTTATCTGGTGTCTGGACCATTTCAAACATCAAAATTACATGTCAAACTTTATTATCAGAAGCAATCTAGAGTTATAACAATTTATACTTAAATTCTACTAGCTACTAGTTCTTGTGAAAAAGGCTGGAGAGGCTGGAAACAAGGCTATCGGGTAAGACACTTGCATTACAAGCAGCCAACTCCGGTTCAATCCCTGGCACCCCATATTGTCCCCTGAGCACCAGAAGGAGATTCTAAAGCAGAGCCAGGAGCAAGCCCAGAGCACACCAAGGGGTGGCCCAGGCCCTATCCCTCCCCTCCAAAACCATGACGAGTTCACTTTTATAAAAGTGACTTTAATCATTCCTTCTATTTTATATAAAAATCATCACATTTTGAAAATTACTCCTTATAGATTCAAATTCTACATATAAGTATCACATGAAAAAAATTTTTAGAAAAGCTATGAAAATAGTTTAACAATAATCCGATAGCAGAGCGGTAGGGCGTTCGCCTTACAAGCGGCCAACATGGCCGACCCGAGTTCGATTCCTCCGCCCCTCTCGGAGAGCCCGGCAAGCGACCGAGAGTATCTCCATATGCCAGACACAGTAACAACAAAGTCTCCAATGGAGACGTTACTGGGCCCGCTCGAGCAAATCGACGATCAACGGGAGGGCCTTTACCTTTACCTTACCATCTATCTTATGCTCTATTTCCATTTACATAAAGTCACTGTCACTGTCCTCCCATTGTTCATCAATTTGCTCGAGCAGGCACCAGTAACATCTCCATTGTGAGACTTGTTGTTACAGTTTTTGGCATATCAAATACATCACGGGTAGCTTGCCAGGTTTTGCTGTGCAGGCAGAATACTCTCAGTAGCTTGCCGGGCTCTCCGAGAGGGGCGGAGGAATTGAACGAACCTGGGTCAGGCTGCGTGCAAGGCAAATGCCCTTCCCACTACGCTATAGCTCTGGCCCTATATAAAGTAATCTAAATTTGGTTTGCTTGTTTTGGCTGTTTGGGTCACACCCAGCAATGCTCAGGGGTTACTCCTGGCTCTGCACTCAGAAATTACTCCTGGTAATTGAGGGAGCTTGAGGGACCATATGGGATATTAAGTATCGAACCCAGATAGGCCACATGCAAGGCCAATGCCCACTGTACTATCGTTCCAGCTTCAGTAATCTCCATTTTAATCACCATAACAGATAAAATTTTTTTCTATGAAAACAGGAGACCAGCAATTAAACATTCATAATCCAAATAGTATTATAGAAGACTTCAACACCAAGGCTTAGTCTTCATCTAGCTCAGTTTGTGTAATTCAAGGATTCAACAATACTGTTTTGATTTTTATTATTTCATGATAATAGCCAATATGGCTTTTGTTTCAAGTGGGAAAGAAACCATTTTACTCAACCACTATCCAGCTGCACAGCACGGGAATTAGGGCTTTCCTGGGCTGACTCCTCCAACACGTGACCACAGTCATACGTTGGCATCTGGCAGGGAACTGTTTCCAAGACACCACATGACCACTGCCACAAGCCAGAGATGTTGAAATCCCTTAAAATCAGCAACGCTTGTCCATGGACCCTTCACTGATTCAATCACCGTCTGCAGCGGTCTCAACCTGCTGCCTGCAGACCACAGCACAGGATAACACTCTGCACTTGCATGGGCCAGCATGGGGGAGGCCATAGACCGTATCTTCCACGGGCCAGCAGGCCCCTTCCTTCACACAGGAGCATCTTTGGATTTGAATTACTACTTCTCAAAAAGTGGAGGAAAATGAACTGCCCTTTGAATAAAAGCAAATTGTTGGTTGAAATTTAAAAATTCACATTACCGGTGGGTATGGTGCCACCAGCAGGTCAATCTGTACCTGTGAGGTGAGTGCATCAGCAGCCTGATGGCGCCTTCAGACTTCCAGATACCCCAAAATTGCTGCCTTTGGCCAGACCCCAAAAACCTGGGGCGAAGTTTACCAAGAAAGTAAATGGCCAAAAGATAGGTATGTGGAAGACACACCCACAAACCACCTCCAGCTCAGCTATATAATTGGAGGCATGGCCTCTCTGGTTCCTAATCGAACTGCTTAACGCCCATGATCCCAGAGACTCAGAAACAAATCTTAAAACCCAGCGGCCTTTGGCAGAAATGCGTGTGGACCACACAGTAGGTTACTGTTCCCATGCCACCCCAGGGGGGAAAGGGTACTGTACTGTTGCCATCCCACCCCAGGGGGGAAAGGGTGCTGTCCCTCTACCTGCTCCCCCTTGGCGGCTCAGTGGCCGCCATCTGCCAGAGGCCATTGGACAGTCTGGTTTGGGCCTGCAATGACAAGACACGCAGGGCCTCACAGGCTGGGGTGGGGCCTGCCCTTTCCTTTCCTCCCCATCCCAACGAGACATCGAGTCACCGTTCATGAACAGCCTCTCTGGCTCCTGATCAAGCTGCTTAACGGCCATGATCCCAGAGACTCAGAAACAAATCTCGAAACCCAGTGGCTTTTGGCAGAAATGCGTCCAGACCCCTACAGTAGGTTACTGTTGCTGGGCCATTCCAGGGGGGAAAGGGTGCTGTTCCTCCGCCTGCTTCCCCTAGGCAGCTTAGTGGCCGCCATCCTCCAGAGGCCATCGGACAGTCAGATTTGGGCCCCCAGTGATGAGAAACGCGGGGCCTCACGGGATAGGGGTGGAGTCGGCTCTTTCCTCCGCACTCCAATGAGACCCCGATTCGCTGCCCACAAACGGCCTTTCTGGCTCCTGATCAAGCTGCTTAACGGACATGATCCCAGAGACTCAGGAACAAATCTCGGAACCTAGCAGGTTTTGGCAGAAATCCCTCCAGATTTAATTGTTAAAATTTGGAATTTCAAAATCACGCAGCAACTACTGCAGCCATGCGACATGTTATGTTATTCATAACCAACAATAGAAAACAAATTGTCTACTGTTGCTTTTCAGCAGATCTGAGTGTTAAGGTAAAATCCCAAACAATAATGGTGGGTCTGGTGTCAAAATATTGAATGTAATCAAAGTAGAGAGAGAGGAATGTGGAAATCATGTGCCCCACAGGTAGGAGGAGGGTGTGGGATGGGAAGTATACTGGGGTTTTGGGGTGTGGCGAATGGGCACTGGTGAACGTACGGGTGTTTCTTTGTATGACCGAGACTTAAACCCAAAAGCTTTGTAACTACTGTCACGGTGATTCAATAAATAAAATTATAAAAAATGAAAAAAAAAAAAAAGTAAGGTGGAGTTCATGCCCAATTCAATCAGCTAATCAGTGGCTGAATAAATAGCAGTACTCCTACATTTAAAAAAAAAAATTCACATTACCTTTTACACAACGTATATTCTTCACTGCAGGTGACTCCCCTGGGTGGCGGGCGGAAATGCCAACCATTACAAGATCCTAGAGAGTAATCAGGATAGGGTCGTATTAGCATTGGAAGCTTTCAGGGTAAGAACTGCTACACCTCCTCTACCCAGATGATGTGAAGAAAGACATGGGATACTTGCCCCTCTACCAAAAAAAGCAATCTGCCAAGCAAATGAGTTCAACCAGGTAATAGTAGAAATCAACGAAGAAGCAGTTACCCAATGGCTAACTCCAGTCCATCTTATTCTTAACTCCCTCATAGCAAATGATGCACATTCAATTCATTCTCTAACCTGACAACTTAACTGAGTGGGAGAACGTTTATTATCTCTAAGCACAGGCCATGTTTCTCTTAGGCATTGCCTCAAGAATGAAAAGGTTACTGGGGCCATGGGTAAGGTGTAGTCACCTTACACACGGCTGACCTGGGTTCAATCCCCCTCATCACATATGGTCCTCTGAGCACCAGCAGAGTAATTCCTGAGTGCTGAGCCAGAAGTAACCCCTGAGCACTGCTGGGTGTGGCCGCAAAACAAACAAATAAATGACTGAGAGACAAGAATGAAAAGATCGCTGTACCAAGTAAGGGCACTTCAGTCCCAGGACTTGCCTGGCATATTACTATATAAAGTAATAGTTTTGTAAAACTGAAAATGAAAGCTAAAAAAAATTTGACTATTGATAGAAACTAAGAATTTGTTTACACTTTGGTTTATCTACACAATGGAGTACTATGTAGCTGTTAGAAAAGATGAAGTCATGAAATTTACATACAAGTGGTACTACATGGAAAGTATCATGTTAAGCGAAATGACTCAGAAAGAAAGGGATAGACATAGAAAGATTGCATTCATCTGGGGAACATAAAGTAACAAAATAGGAGACTAACACCCAAGAGTGGCTGAGATTAGTACCAGGAGGTTTGCTCCATGGCTTGGAGGCCAGCCACACATGCTAGGAGAAAAGGGAGCTCAGATAGAGAAGGGAGCATCAAATAAAGGGTGTTGGGAGGATCCTCCCAGGATGGGAGAAGCATGCTGAAAGTAGACTACAGACCGAATATGATTGCCACTCAATGCCTCTTTTGAAAATCACAACACCCAAAAGGAGAGAGAGAACAAAAGGGAATGCCCTGCCACAGAGGCAGTGTGGGATGGGGGTATGGGGTGTGGGAGGGATATTGGGATCCATGGTGGTGGAAAATGGGCACTGGTGGAGGAATGGGTATTTGATCATTGTATAACTGAAATCCAAGCACAGAAATTTGTAAGTCTACAACTATACCTCATGGTGTTTCACTAATAAAAATTAAAAAAAAAAAAAAGAATTTGTTTACTACTAGATACAATGATACAATGAGCATTGATTGATTCAAATAAAAGGTTTCAATAAGATAAAAACAGGTTCCAGAGAGAAGACTAGAGACTATGGAGAGTGAGCAGTGATACACACACACACACACACACACACACACACACACACTCTGCCTTTTGGGTCAAACCCAGAGATGTTCCGTGGTTACTCCTGGCTCTGCACTCAGGAATTACTCCTGGCGGTGCTTGAAGGACACATGGGATGTCGAGGATTGAACCCAGGTCGGCCACACACAAGGCAAACACCCTAACTTCTGTACTACTGCTCCGGTCCCAGTAGTGATATTTTCAAACACCCTCACACCAATTCCTATTTCCCATGAGTCACTCTTAGTCTTTCCTCCAGGTAGAAAGTAAATGAGAGGGGGAAGAGAGTGGATGCAAGCGAGAGATGCAGTCTGATGGAACTTAAAACTGCACCTGGTCCCTCACTAGCCTCGTGACTTGGGGAAAACTCCTGAGCCTTCCTTCTTAAGTCTCAACCTCCTCACCTATGAGATGAAGAAGAGCCTAAGAAGTTGTTTTTTACCGGAAAACAGTGGAACCCTACAGAGTTGCCCAGCAAGCACTGAGGGAAGGCTGGACTCTTGTCTCTACCCTGAATAAAGATGAGAGTTCAAAGATTTTCATGGCTCCAGTTACAGCTCAAGTTTACAGATCAGAACTTCCACCAAAACAATCACTGCACTGTCTGGAGATGACAGAGGGAGAGAGAGAGCAATATGCAAGAAAGCTGCAAACTGCTAGGAAGGAAGCTTCAAACGACCCGGAAGCTGATGGTGAAGTGGATGAGCTCTGGAATACTCTCCTAAGACTCCACCACTCGAGGATTCGATGAAAAGAGTCCAGAGGAAACCTTGCTTTCTTTCACTGAAACATCTTAAAGTTAAACCCTTATGGTCTATCTATCCACTCTTACACATAAAATAACTCAGTCAACTGCTTGCCCGTAATCAATAAAAAAGCAAATCTAGGATCGAAGCTACCCAAAAATCATGCGGGCATTCCTACTTACCCTCCTCTAAGTCTTCTGCGTGGTATCCAGAGAGGACGTTACTAGTTGCTGTCTACAATTTTCAAACGAAAGACAATTTCATTAAAATAACCAGAGAATGTTGAACTACACTTGGATATTTTCGACATTTTTCCCAAAGGTAGTGTTTAAACACTTAGAAATTCTTGATAAACATTAATTAAAATTGGAGTGATTGTTTTTAACTCTTTGTTTTCTGTTGTTATTGCTTTGTTTTGCTTTGGGGTCACACCTGATGATGCTCAAGGGTTATTCCTGGCTCTGCACCCGAAAACCACTCCTGGCAGGGTTCGGGGATCATATGGGATGTCAGGGATCGAACCCAGGTCAGCCACATACAAGAGCACAGCGCCAGGAGTCAGACCTGAGCACAGCTGGGTGTAAGACAAAAACTGTAACAAAATCGGACAGAGTACAACTGGATTCAGGCCAAGTGTGTGGCCACCACTCTGGGCGCTGCCAGGGCCCAGAGTCCCGTGGTGGGATCTTTGCTCTCATGGAGGGGTTTTATGTGATGGTACTTGGGGGCCACCCGGGGCTCAAATTCAGGACCCGACACAGGGTAGGCACGTGCTCTGCCACTTGCGCCAGCTCCCCGGTCTGTGCTTCTTTTCTGTTCAGTTTTGTTCTTCCTTACTTCCTTTGAGCATCTGTTTGTTTGGGGGCCTTACGTCTTCCTGGCTTCTCTCAGGGGTCACTCCCAAAAGTTCTCAGGGAACCATGTGATGGTCGTGCCAGGGACTGAATCCGGGTCGGCAGCATGCAAGACAAGCACCTTAAGCTCTTAGGGTGTCTTTCTGGGCCCCCCTGGGTCTGCTTTGAAGCACCCTTTTTATACGCTTAGATTCCAAGACAGAAGGGCTTGTAGTCTTCACAATTAGCTGGTAGATCTTTCATTTTTTACTGATACAAGAGAGAAATCACTTCAACTTTCACATTGACATTATTCCTTTACATTTATAATCAAGTCTAACGATTTGCTACTTGAAATTTCCCTGAAGAATAGGCACTGTTTCTGTTTCCTGAGCAAGCCTTTATTTCCATGTCTTCTCCTCACCTGCTAGCATTTACAAGTTAAATACCAGCTCAGTTCAATCTTTAAATAACAAATCGTTGCTATTTTAAAATTTGGCATGTGCAATAATTAATAAGAGGGGCATTGTTAGCTTTTTTTAGCTGAGAATTTTTCTTACCAATTTACTCACCCCAAGCAAACTAATCTAGGCGCAGAGAAAGGGGTGAAACTGGCTGCCTTGTGTGCACCCCGGTTCAATCCCTGGCATGACATGATGCCCCCTAGGCACCACTGGAAGTGACTGAAGCACAGAGCCAGAAAGAGCCTTCACGCACAAGCACTACAGCTCAAAACCTCCCACTACTTGGGGTACTTGGGGCTGGGATGATAGCACAGCAGGTAGGGATTTGCCTTGCATGGGGCCGACCTGGGTTTGATTCCCAGCATCCCATATGGTCCCCCGAGCACCACCAGGAGTAATTCCTGAGTACAGAACCAGGAGTAACCCCTGTGCACCACCAAGTGTGACCCCAAAAGCAAAAAAAAAAAAACTCCCACTACCAACTACTATTCTATTCCAGAAATTAACAGCCAGGGCCAGAGGGAGAGGACAGCAGGGAGGGCGCATGCCTTGCTTGCAGGCAACCCAGGTTCAATCCCCAGCAGCATAGATGGTCCCCTAAACACCGCCAGGAGTGAACCCTGAGCACAGCACCAAGGGTAAACCCTGAGCATGGGTGGGTATGGCCCAAATGCAAACCCACTCCCCCTCCCAAAAAAAAAAAATCATGAGCAAAAAAAAAAAAAAAAGTTACTTCTTCCAAAACTACAATCACAAAACAAAGATTCAAGTGATATTTGTGACCTTTAATGTAATAATTAAAATCTTTTTATATACTTGAATATAGAGTCTCCTGCCTCCTCACCTGGCTGTCCTCACCGGGGCCCCTTGGAGGAGGGCAGGTTGAGTTTCCCTCCCTCCCACGAGCAGAGCCCCAGCAGTTGAAGACCTCCAGATCCAGTCACAGCCATGCTTAAGACCACTCTCCACACGTTTGGACGAGCCTCACGCATGAAGGAACCGGCAGAGGAACCCAGGTGTGCGGGACCCAAGGCTTAGATCTCCAAGCCTGCTCAGATCGGGACTGAGCCTCCTCCAGCCAGATCCCCCATCTTCCAGCATGTAGGTCTTACACCCACCAACTGCCCCCAGCACTGTGTAATCCCATCAACGGCCAAGACCCAGAGACTATAAAACCTAGCTTCCGAAAGCACTCGGCTGCATTCGCGGCCGCATGACACCTTATTATCTAATTCTTACTCTGGAGAACCTGGCAGGCTACCGAAAGGATTCTGCCCGCACAGCAGAGTCTGGCAAACTCCCCATGGTGTATTCAATATGCCAAAAACCAGTAACAATGATGGGTCTCATTCTCCTGACCCTGAAAGTGCTTCATCTCAGGGCTAGGATGAAGGAGATGTTACTGGTGCCTGCTCGAGGAAATCGATGAATAACAGGATGACAGTGACAGTGATACTTGAATATGATCACAAGATTGAATGCTGTTAGTTAAAGCAAAACAAAATCATCTTAATTACATGAAAGGTCATTTGAATTTAAATTCCCGTTTGAGGTACCTAAAACTAGTGGGTGAGGGGGATTAGGCCACACCCGGTGGTGCTTGGAGTGTTGGGGGGCCCATGCCTGCCAGAGACTGAGCTGGGGTCAATGTAACTGCATCAAAGCAAATATACTCTTGATCCAGTTCATGATACGCGCTTGCTTGTCAGTACACATGGGAAAAACTGCATGTCCCGAGTTGTCATCCCCCGTCTCGGCCCATACTCTCCCTGTCTCCAGAGCTCCCTGCATTGTCTCCAAGAGTCTGGAGACTTTGCTCCCTCTCAAACAATGTTCCAACATCTGTCCTTTCACCAGTATACATTTCCCACCACCAATGTTCCCAGTTTCCAACCCGCCCCCTCCCTGCAGTCTACCTCTATAGCAGGCTCCTGTCCTCCCTCCCTCCCTCCCTCCCTCCCCCTCCCCAGTTTCTATCCTGCCCGTCCCTGTACCCTGCAGCCTACCTCTACAGCAGTGTCTCTCTCTCCTCTCTCTCCTCTCTCTCTCTCTCTCCTCTCTCTCCCTTTCCCTCTCCCTCTCTCTCTTTCTCTCTCTGCAATACAGATCCTGAAAGGTTATCACGTTTGCCCTTTCCCTGCTAGAGCTTTAATTAACTTGCTATCTCTCACTTCCCCGGGTCTCTGCTCTCCCAGAGGATGAAGACCCTGGGGCTCACATCCAGAGCTATATCCCCATATCACCATGCAAGGGCCCCAACAAACAGTAGGAGCCAATATTTTAATAAATTAACCAGTCACCTTACACGGGCTTCCATTATGATAAAAACTGACCAAAGTGGCAACAATATTTTTTAAGGGGAAAAAAAAAAAAGCAAGGAGGGCTACAAGAATACAATGGGCAGGTGCTGGCCTTGCACAAGGCCAAGCCAGGTTTGATCCCCAGCACCCCATAGAGTCCCCCACGGCGGCCCCCTGCAAGAGTGACGGCTGAGCTCAGAGCCAGACATAAACAAACAAACCAAGTTTTAGGGCAACACCCTGTGTGTTGAGGGCCAACACGGGACCAAGCACGGAGCTCGCTCAACAAGACTGTCATGATTTTTCCATGATTCATATAAATACAGCAGTTTTTTATGTGTGTGAGAGAAGCAGAAATCTGACACAAATAAAAGTGCCTTTTAGGGGCCGGAGTGATGGTACAGCAGGTAGGGTGTTTGGATTGCACACGGCCAACCCAGGTTTGATTCTCAGCATCCTATATGGTCCCCCAAGCACTGCAAAAAGTAATTCCTGAGTGCACAACCACGAGCAACCCCTGAGCATCGCTGGGTGTGACCCAAAAAGCAAAAAAAAATATTGCCCCTTACATGACTGTGTTGGCCCCAGCTGTCCATGTGAGCACAGTTTTTGCTCATTGTTTACCCTTATAAACATTATTCCTATTTCCTAGACCCGGGCTCTCCGAGAGGGGCGGAGGAATCAAACTTGGGTTGGCCATGTTGACTGCATGCAAGGCAAATGCCCTACCCGCTGTGCTATCGCTCCAGCCCTATTTCCTAGACCCGGGCTGGAGTGATAGCACAGCGGTAGGACATTTGCCTTGCGCACAGCCAGCCCAGCCGAGCCAGGTTTGATTCCTCTGCCTCTCTCGGAGAGCCCAGCAAGCTACTAAGAGTATCTTGCCCGCACAGCAAAGCCTGGCAAGCTCCCCGTGCCGTATTCAATATGCCAAACACAGTAATAACAACAAGTCTCAAAACGGAGACGTTACTGGGCCCACTTGAGCAAATCAATGAACAACAGGAGGACAGAGTTCCTACACCCATTTCCTAATATTTAAAAAAAAAATTTTAATTACTAAAAAGCTTCTTTTTTTTTTCTTTCTTTTTGGGTCATACCCGACGATGCACAGGGGTTACTCCTGGCTCTGTACTCAGAAATCACTCCTGGCAGTGCTCAGGGGACCATATGGGATGCTGGGACTCGAACCCGTGTCAGCCGCATGCAAGGCAAACGCCCTACCTGTTGTGCTATCACTCCAGCCCTTAAAAAGCTTCTTTAAGATGCTTTTAAAAATGCAAAATGTTCAGGGCTGAAGAGATAGTACAGCAAGTAGGGCCTCTGTTCTGCACGTGACCAACTAGGTTTCAATCTCCAACACCCCCCACCACTAAGTCCCCAAGCCCTTTTAGGAGTGACCCCAGGGCACAAATCCACGAATAAACCCTGAGCACAGCTATGCTTTAACCCAATAACAGAAAGAAGAAAAAGACAAACAAAAATGTTTGAAAAGTAATGGGGGTTAAGGAAGGGGTGAGGGGACCCTCAGGAATGACCCTTAGCAGTTTTCAGAGATGCGAATATGATGCCAGGAATTCAAACTAGGGTTGGCGGGATGCGAAACAGGTGACTTTTTTTAATCTCTATTCAAGTTATCTGGTCTCCGGTAACGTATTTTCAGTATTTTTTAACAGGCAGATGCAGTTAAAAATGAAAAATTGTCAAAGATCTTTCCAGTTGGCCAGCGATAACTAATTTATGAGTTAGGAGGAAGGAGAACTCAGATGCAGATGAGAGGCAAGAAAACGTCAGCAACAAAATATATGGTACAACCCAGCCACGGTTCAAAGACTGTAAGTTTCGGGGCTGGAGAGATAGCACAGCGGGTGGGGCGTTTGCCTTGCACGCGGGTTCGATTCCCATATGGTCTCCTGAGCACCGCCAGGAGTGACTCCTGAGTGCAAAGCCAGGAGTAACCCCTACGCATCGCCAGGTGTGACCCAAAAAGCAAAAAAAAAAAAAAAAGACTGTAAGTTTCTAGAACCCCACCTTTAATCCCTTGCTTTGTGGCTGATGCTCATTGATTTCTCAATGTTTAATTCACACTTATTCGTCAGAGCAACTTAAAAGCTTTCCAAAGAGATTTACTTAAACAGCCTTACCTCTGTTTCTATGAGAAGTGTTTTTAGTCTTGTCAAATCTTTCGTTACCATCCCATTCTGAAAGGACAAATAAAAAAGCGAGACAGTACTCAGTACACTTGGTCTTCAGTGCTCCTCCAGAGGGGGTGGGCAGGGAGGCCACCACGGGGCTGAGGACCACGCCCAGGACCCCACGTACCCAAGCCACATCCCCAGTTCCCACTATGTTGGTTCCTTACCGTTGGGGACTTACCTCAATTCCTCACCTATCTCAAAGGTCCAGCTATAGAAACAATGCTATTCTCACTCCCATCCCAACTACCATTAAAAGCGATGCAGCTCCTCATTACTAAGAAAAATTTGAAAGATTGCTTAAAAAATACAGTTTACGGGGCTAGAGCTATAGTACAGCAGGTAGGGCATTTGCCTTGCACGTAGTGACCTAGGTACAGTTTACCCTTACTATAATCACTCTGCATCTGCTTTAAGTTGATTCAATGTATTTACAATAGGTTTCACTGAAGAGCAAGACAGGGAGAGGGAAAAACAAACCTAACCATTTCTCTCCCTAGATCTAATGGGTGCCAAATGGAAAACAGTGAATTTGATTGGTTATCTCCGTCTCAGATTCACAAAGATCAGATCACTTGAAAGAGAGTTCATTAATAAAGTCACTGTAGTCATTTCCAATTTCTCTTAGAAAAACAAAAACAGAAACAAAATCACTTGTTAAACTGAATACACTCAATTTATGTTCATTAATCTACAATCAAGAGTGAGTCAACAGTGGTCAAGGTGTTAAGTTAAACATTTGTAAAGGTAATGCTTATGTGTTTAATTTTAGAGGGCAGGAGCAATAGTGCAGTGGGTAGGGAACTTGTCTTGCACATGGTCAACCCAGGTTCAATCTCCAGCATCCCCTATGGAGTCCCTCAAGTACTACCTGGAGAAATTCCTGAGTGCAGGGCCAGGAGTAACCCCTGAGCAACGCTGGGTGTGACCCAAAAGGAAAAAAAAATAGGAAAGAAAAAAAAGAAGAAAAATAACTAATTACCCTCTGAGATGAGCCACTGAATTCACTCAGCAGTATATTAAGTATGTTCTTAATTTCTATTTTTTAACAAATAATTTGCATTGAAAATACAACTTTGCTCCAGATTATGACAATTATCAATTCAAAAAAATAAGATACAGGGAATTTGTGTTGTCTAGCAGAGTACATACGTACTTTCTTACTTTCACTGTTTTTCATGATTTCATTAAAAAAAATCAAGTTTTACAAGCCACCAACTACTGAAAAAAGTTATAGTCTTTCTTTGATCCAATTTCTACAGATTGCCAATTCTAACAACCCAAAACATAGTCTTTTTATTATTTCTTCCGAAACCAACAATCTACAAAATTTAAATGGCACGTAACATTATTCCCAAGTCTGATGAATTAGGGTCTCGTGAATATTACTAACCTAGCCACATGCCATCTTCAGTAATTACAGAAATAACTATCTAGCTTAGGTTAATTTCAGCACTTTTAAAATAAATGCTTTTGGGGCTGGTGTGATAGTACAGCGGCGAGAGGGCATCTACCTTACATGCGGCCGACCTGGGTTCGATTCTCAGCATCCCCTATGGACCCCTGAGCACCACCAGGAGTAATTCCTGAGTGCAGAGCCAGGAGTAACCCCTCTGCATTGCCGGGTGTGACCCAAAAAGCAAAAAGATAAATTAATTAGCACTCTCCTCTTGTTGTTCATCGATTTGCTCAAGCGGGCCCAGTAACGTTTCCATCGTGAGACTTGTCGTTACTGTGTTTGGCATATTGAATACGCCACAGGGAGCTTGCCAGGCTTTGCCGTGCAGGCAAGATATTCTCAGTAGCTTGCCGGGCTTTCCAAGAGGGGTGGAGGAATTGAACCTGGCTCAGCCAGGCCAGCTGCATGCAAGTCAAATGCCCTACCTGCTGTGCTATCACTCTAGCCCAAATAAATTAAAATAAAATAAATGCTTAATTTAAAAATCATGAAAGGTCGTGGCCATAGGTACCCTTTAAAACCTGAAAATATTTCCAGGCTCTATTTTAAAATGATGTCTTTAAATAGAATCCTTGGGCCAGAGAGATAGTACAGTGGATAGGGCATTTGCCTTGCACACGACCAACCCAGGTTCGTCCCCGGCATCCCATATGGTCCCCTGAGCACCGACAAGGATCTGATACCTCAACATATTTGTTGACAAGAAATGAGTATCACAGGGCCCAGGGCAATGGCTCCAACCAAGGGGGCCCACGGACAAGCACTGGGTTAGACCCAGCAGCATGTGGTTCTCTGCACCCCCAAAGCCCTGGGGTGTGGCCCAAATGGCCCAAAACCAAAAAAAGAAAAGAAATGGGTCTTTCCAGATCATCATAAACTCTGATTTCTGAGGAGGAAAATGGACAATACACACAAATTATCCACCTCCCCCCACCAACACACACACACAATATTCTAAAGGAACCAAATGCACGAATCGTTCCTGGACCTTCTGATGGAGGGTCCACCCACATACCAAGGACTCTCCCGTCAGTGACTTGGTGAGGATGTTGGACACAGGCTGGAGCTTCCCCTTCAGGTGCATACAGCAGAGCACTGCCTGGAAGGGCCCGTCGCCGTTGGCCAGTCCTTCCCCCAGCACTGTCGGAAGAAGAGCCATCGTTAGCCGCATGACACACAGTGCCAAAACAAGCCCCTCTTTGGACACAGATGAAGAATAACTTCAAAGCATTCTGGGGAAGTCGGGGCGGCATTTCACTTCTCTCCTAGAGATGCATCAAGAAATGACATGAGGGGCGGTGGGGGGCTGGAGCGATAGCACAGCGGGTAAGGTGTTTGCCTTGCATGCAGCCAACCCGGGTTCTATTCCCAGCAACCCATATGGTCTCCCGAGTACCACCAGGGGTAATTCCTGAGCACAGAGCCAGGAGTACCGCCAGGGGTAATTCCTGAGCACATTGCCAGGTGTGACCCAAAAAGGGAAAAAGAAAAAAAAAGACATGGGGCAATTGACAAATCCAGCCCACTATAGAGTCTAGCCAGGACAACAAAACAGGGTGGGGGGTGGGGGGAAGAGGCAATCATTTGATCATTTCTGGCTTTAGTTTGGCTTGCATGGGGGTGGAGGGTTGGGGTCCATACATGGACATGATCAGAGGGTTTAGTTCTGTCCTGGTCCAATAAGAATTAATTCTGAAGTCTTCTGGTGAAAATACTGTCAACTTACAAATTTCTGGGTAAAAGGCAACTTTGACACTGCAGAGATACTCACTAAATCAAGTTCTCACATTTTGGCAGCACCGCCAGAGACTCATGGGTCATTACGCACAGAGGTGAGGAGATGGCTTGAAGGGTCAGGGTACATGAGGAGCCAGGGGTCCAATGCCTCACAGGTTCCCCTGAGGACCCCCAGGAGCATAATCCCCTCGCCCCAGCAGAAGCAGCTCCTGATGGCTTCTGGATGTGACCCCCAAAAAAAGCGCTAAAAGAAACTGTCTCAATTTTTTCATATACCTTGAGCAATTACAAATGAGCTGCTTGTGGGGGGGTGGGGGGGGCTGAAGAGATAGCACAGCGGGCAGAACGTTTGCCTTGCACGTGGCTGACCCGAGTTCAATTCCCAGCATCCCATATGGTCCCCTGAGCACCACCAGGAGTGATTTCTGAGTACAGAGCCAGGAGTAACCCCTGTGCATCACTGGGTGTGACCAAAAAAAAAAAAATGAGCTGCTGGAGCTGGTAACTTGGCTCAGGGGAGAGGCTTGCATGTGTGAGACCCTGGATTCAATCCCCAGCACCACAGAAAGGCTGAAAGAAAGACTTTTGTGAAACAATAGTCCCTGAGAACCCAGTGGTCACATGACAACCAAAAACACTTACCCCAGCTGCTAGCAAGTGTGTGCAGAGTCAATACAAAGGCACAACTTCCTAACAGTACCAACTACACCCGTTTTAAGCCACCTCTTTGGAAATGATTTTTTCCAGCTATGGCTAATGGGTGGATTAGTAAAACAAGCTCTATCGGGGCTGGAGTGATAGCACAGCAGGCAGGGTGTTTGCCTTGCACACAACCGACCCGGGTTTAATTCCCAGCATCCCATACGGTTCCCCGAGCACTGCTAGGAGTAATTCCTGAGTGCAGAGCCAGGAATAACCCCTGAGCATCGCCGGGTGTTACCCAAAAAGCAAAAAAAAAAAAAAAAAAAAAACAAAGCAACTAAGCTCTATTGTTCTCTTTACTGGAAAGTCCAAGATCCCTTGCAGGGGTAGGAGGTACAGAGGAGCCAAACTCACAGCCTCTCGCACTCAAGGCAGACGCTCTACCACTCAGCAACGTGCCACAGGATTCCACTTCTGTGTGCACACAGCTAAACTTCCGCTGCAGAAAACTAATCGGCTGGGAAATTTTTTTAGAAATTCTAATTTTTTTTTCCTATCACTTTCCAAGAAAACGTGCTGCATATTGAAAGCTCCCTGGGCCATTTCATTATATATTTTGAGTGCACTGAATATATCTGCTACAATGTCCAAAGTCTGACTGCACTCATCAAGTTCTACAGAAGAGCTCGTCATAAATTCATCGCTCAACTGCAAGAGCTTTCACTTAAAGTTTTCTTCGAATTCTTAGATGTACGTAACAGTGACAGGAGGGCGATTAATGTCAATGGAGCAGCTCGCTTTGTTTTTGTTTTTAACCCTTGGCACACTCAACATATTCCTTGATTCACTGCATCATACCCCATGAAGTAGAAACATCCGTTTGAGAGATCTCTATCTTCTCGGATTCCCTAGCACTCCCAATTTTTAACTCTGAATAATGCGGCAGGGGCCAGGGGGAGAGCTAAGTGGGCTGGAGCACATGCTTGGCAAGCAGGAGCCCTGGGTTCCAACCACCCCACAGCACTTCCAGTACACTGTTCTAAGCACTGAACTCAGACGGCCCCCTGAGCAACACCTCCAGGTGTGGCCCAAAACCAAAAATAACAACACTACAATAAACCTCTTATTCGGGCAGGGTGGGAAACACATCTGGCTGTGCTCAGGGGTTACTCCTGACTCTGCACTCCCGGTGGTGTTGGGGGTGTGGATAGATAGGATGCTGGGGATCAAACCTGGGTTGGCCATATACAAGGGAAGCGCCCTTTCCGCCGTACTATGGTTCCGGCCCCATAACCCTCATTATATTATCACTTCCTTATGTTGAAGCTATTTGGAGACTGTCATCTCTCTACTTCTCTGGAGAGGGAAGGGTGCATATCTGGGTGATGCTCAGGGGCAACTCCCAGCTCTGTGCTCTTGGACACTCCAGGTCATGCCCAGGGAAGCATGCAGTGTCATGGATCAAACCTCAGGACTCCAGCCCACTGGACTTCCAGCCAGTTGCATTCAATCTCCTTCTCTGGTTTTAATTACTTTTATTTTGGGCCCGACTGCACAATCACTGAATTGTGACCAGCTCTCACTGGAGACTGTTCTATTCCTACCCCGCTGGCCCTTACTCTGTGTGGTCATCTGTAAATCAAATATAAATCTGTGCAAAGGATCAAAGAATTTATACAAATAAAATTCCTGTTGTCTTGTTTGTTTTTGTGCCATACCCATAGGGCTTTCAAGGCTTACTCCTGGCTCTATGCTCAGAAATGACTCCTGGCAGGGCTGAGGGAACCATTTGGGATGCCAGGGATTGAACCCAGGTTGGCCGGGTGTAAGACAAGCACCCCTCCCTGCCGTATTATCACTGTAGCCAATGAAGAAAATTCTTTTGAAGGAAAGAAAAAAATCATCACAACATCAAGGCAGACAGCTCAAAGGGCTGGAGTGTGCGGGCCTGGCAGGCACAGGGGCTGGGCTCGGTCCCCGCAACGCCAGTCCCCCGCCAGTCCCCATCAGGCCCCCCAGCTCCACTGGGTATGCACCTGGCATTCCCCGGCACTGCTGGGAAAGGCCCCCAGAGAAAAAGAAAGAAAAGAGAAGAGCCTCCCAAGGTCTGGCCCCTGGCAGTGACTAAGCTGCTTTCTACCCTGTGGACAGATTCTGGAGAAGCTTCCTTCCATTCCAGGCTGAAGGGGCAGCAGTGGAGGGGGAGAGTGGTCCAGAGGATGCTCTAGGCTACGGTGGAAGAAAACTGGCACTTTACTGGTGGGTATGGCATGGCACCATTCTACCACGGAGACACACACCTTGATACTCTCAGAAGCCAGTACTGCCTCAATGAAAAGTAAATTTTAAAAAAGAAGAAACAAGGGCTGGTGAGATAGTAATGGGGTTGAAACATTTGCCATGCCTGTAGCTAACCCAAGTTTGATCTCTGGCACTGGGTAGGGTCGCCGTGAGGCCCACCAGGAGTGACCCATGAGCACAGAGCCAGGAGGAAGCCCTGTGCACAGCTGAGCGTGGTCCCAAGCCCAGCTAAAAATTTGTTTAGAAAGAAAAGATGGTGTTAATGATCAAGCCTCTAACAGTTTCCTTAAAGGCAAGACATAACTGTCATCTTCCCTTTCCAACACTCAGAATGGAATATAGCGAGAATTGAGAACTGAGAATATTCTTCTCTTAAGTTTCCTTATCCACACTGAGAGGTATCAGTAAAGGATAAGGAAACTTAAGAGAAGAGGAAAATTAACGTGGAAACATAGAAATTATCCTAGGAGACCCAGATCCCTTTGCAATAATTAGAATACAAAGACACTAGTTGTAGGAAACGAAAAAGTCTCAGAGTAACCAAAATGGGGGGAAGAAAAAAAAACCCTAGTTCAAGCTCAAATGATGGTGTCATGTTCATTTTTTTTTTTAGTGAACCAAAAACTTTTTTATTGACAGAAATTTCCTTAGAGAAGTGTGAGAGGAGAGAAAGAGGATATAAGTATTCGAGACAGAATAGGGGCTTCTCCGGGGAGGAAAAACCCAGTCATGTCATGTTTAAAGAACATTCAACTCCATCATATTTTACAAATACCTTCCATGGAATTTTGGTTTTATACAGAGTACATGCTGAATTTTATGTTAGAAAGATTCCTCCAACTTCACTGATGTTTAAATGTCTCAATAGAGGTCAAAATAACACTTCTCTTTTTCTCTTTGAGACAGTAGCAGTATTAATATGCTTTCCCCCAACTCTGGCTGTTGACTGCAATTCAGTTTCTATCTTACAGGTTCCCACATCAGCTGGGGGGAGGGGGAGGGGGAATGGTGAACAATTACAGATAAAAATTCTCCTGCTTTTGTATCACATAACAAAATGAAATTACAGTACTGCCAATCTGGCCCCTTATTATCTTTAGTATCTTTTTTTAAGGCTTGAAAGAAAACAAAGCAGACACTATTATTAAACTTTTCTGGGCCACAATAACCAAACTTGCCAAAAGAGATGATGTTTATAAAGAGTCTAACCCTGAGTAGCTGTTTAAAAAAAGTTGCTGAAAAGGTTGGCAATCCCCTGCAGATAATGTTCTTTCTCAACAACTCAGAAGATTCAGCTGTAAGCCCATATGGCCGCCCAGGAGGGACTCAACACAGCTACCCTATGGCCACGCAGGAGGGACTCAACACAGCTACCCTATGGCCACGCAGGAGGGACTCAACACAGCTACCCTATGGCCACGCAGGAGGGACTCAACACAGCTACCCTATGGCCATGCAGG